AACATGCATCCAGGTTTCTTCTTTTCATTACTATAAAAGTCAGATGAAAATATCCTTGTAAAATATTCTAAGAATTAACTCTAAACAGGGACTTTAAAAGTAACTTCTATTACAAAAGATAAAGAAATGCAAGTTATGTTTCCCTTCAACCACCATTTACTGAATGCCTACTATTTACAAAGCCCTGCACTAAGGCTATGTGGCAGGGGCAAATGTGCATGTAGGTGCCTGAATTCTAACAGCTGGAGATTGAGGAGAGAGCATGACTGCATTTCTCCAGGAGAAAACTGAAAGCACTATTTGTCTCCTGAAGTCTACTCTATTAAACAAACAAACAAAAAAACAAAACAAAAAAAAAAACCTCTTTAAATTACTCTAGAACTTGAATGAATTCAGGTTATCTTTCTAACCTGGCCACTCCAGAAATTTGCTGGGGAAATTTATTTACTGCTAAACATGACAAGGATTATAGCAGAGCTGTGGCAAACCTGGAACTAATATAATATTCTCTGGGGCCTTTTTTTTTCTTTATAACATATATTATCACAATTTAACATATTAAACCTTCATGTTAGGTTAGAGGAAATATACAAAGAATTAAACATATCTATTAACTATTCACACAGTTGCAAGAGTTAAATTTGTTTACAAATTCATTTTTTAAAAAAAACTGATTTAAGAAAATCCTCTGAAATAGTCAACTCTTTTCCAAACGTATTCCAAAATTAATTAACTCACTTGAATGTAAGTATCTTAAAATTTTACTTAAAAGTCAGAGTTTGGGGGCTTTTCTCCAGGTCTTTGGGCTTTTAATTTAATGATTTTTGGTGATTCAGAGCAATTTGTGTCTTGTCTTTTCATTGCACAATAAAACCATTAACCTTTCCTTCATGTGATACTCGAAAGTGTCACTAAAAGACTCACAGTATTTTAGATGACCCCATTTTATGATAAAGTACTTTCAATATTTTAGTAATTAAATATGCTTTCTACTAAATGTAGCTATCCTATAACATACCAGGGTCTATAGTGAATTATACAATAATACTTAAGTGTACTATATGTCCTACATACCCTCATAATAGAAAATAAAAAAATTGTTTTCCAATAGTGTGATATATAAGATGAAAATAAATTTTTAAAAGTGTTAACAATCCTAATTTAAATCAAATAGATCATACTGCTATTTCCTTCAGCAAGATTAGAATATAGAGTAAGCTTCTATATTAAATTCTAAAACAGTTACTCATTACACTGTATATCATGTTTATATGAAAGGGGCCATGGTCTAGTGTTTGGGGCATAAGTATGACAGGATCAACCTATATGAACTAAAGCTCTAGAAATACCATGTACAGTATACTTTCTGTGTCTTCATCTTCTTATCTAAAATAGGGATAAGTATATTGAGTGTATTATTTTTTACAATCTAATGAGTTAAAATTATTTAAAGACAGTTAAGCAACACAGACCAAAATTCACTTTCCTGGTAATGGATATTTTAATGCACATAACTTTTTCAGATGTCAATTCTAACCTGCTTTCATCTATAAGAATTAGTTTATAATTGTTCTAATTTTCTCATGAAGGGATTTCCTAAATCTCATTATAATTCTAATTAGCTTAATTTTCTAACAAGTGAGTTATCCTATTTATTTTTGAAATAGTTAACAATTCTCCAAATTCCTTTTAAAAATATTAATGATGATAAAAATTAAAATGAGCAGTTGTACCTTAGAAATAGAACATTTTAAATTATTATATAATTGAAACTAAATCTTTATATATATTTGGAATGAGGAGGTCTCAACAGTAAATTTTCTTAGGTTAAAATGAACTCACTTGAAATTTCAAATGTTGTATTTAATTCAACTGTCTCAATTTCCTCACACTTAAAAACATACCACAGTAACACTAAATTCAACTGATATTGTTACATAGACCTAAAATTTATTTTTTATATAAAAACACTCAACCTACATGTTTGAAGTTATCTATATTTGACATAGCCACTAAAAAACAAAATCACAATGCATTCAGACAGAAAACTACAAAAGTATATTTTAATGGATCTACTGCTTTTAAAAGATATTCCATGTAATAATCAATATCGTTAAAATCACTCTCAATAAAATGTTTTTTTTTCTTTTAATGATCCAAATCTATAGTGAAATGATGAAATCGAAAAACAAGTGTTCTTGTCAGAAGACAGGAAGAGAGTTTTTTCCCTTCCCTTAAGGAAAACAAAGGATTCCTGAAAGCTTTGCCCTGATTTATTTTTCCAATTTTAAATACCTTAAGAGTAGCGGAACTGCTACTGGCATGGTAGTATTTCTAACAGTCAATAAATCTAAAATATTATGTGTGAATATTGGAATGAAGCCATTAAGAAGATTACAGCATGCAACACAGCAGAGGGTCCACAGGAAAAAAGAACTAGTAATTCAGGACAACTGTGACCACTGACCTTTGAACAGCCAAGACCACTGGTCAAGCTGACACAATAATAGAGTGCACATGCACAGAAAGTCATCTAGCCTGTAAGTATAATTTAAATGTTTTGGTGAATGATTTTAAAAGGCCCCCTTTTAAATATCAGTTAATTTACTAAATAATCAAATAATACTAGTAGTAATATTTTTCAGGAATCAAGTACATTTCATTAATTCAAATCACAAAAAAAATCAGTAAAATCATTTGTAATTTTAACACATCTCATTTAAAACACTTATAATTAGAGAAAGTATGATGTGATAACTTTATCATATCTCCTACAGAAGTGTAAGAGATAACTTTTGGAAAACTGATGAAAAAGCTAAATTTATTAAAGAGGGGTTAAACAAACAATCACCTAAAATATTTTTAGAAAATGACCCTAAGTTTAAAACTTCTCATACTTTCAGCAAATGGTCCTAGTTCCACCCCAGGGCTGTATCCACTTATTCCTTGTTCAAATTTGTAAGTCTGTGGCCTTTAATTTCAAGCATACATATAGTTATATCTACACCACCTAACAGTGTGCCTTTTTATGCTTTTTTTATTTCAGTTATGTACAGTTAACTGTGATAAATAAAGGAGATGGTCCTTCCTGTCATTTTATATATTTAGGCTTTTATATTTTCTGAGTACTATTTAACTTCTTCATATTTTAAAATAAATGTCTTAATATGAAACTAATTCTACTGGGAAAGTAGTACATCTCAATTAAAAAAGAATCACCCATCAAAAAAATTACTATTAAGGATTGTTTTTCTTAAAGAAATAAAATCAGCCATCACTGAAACTGACTATAAAAATTTTTATGACACAAAAAAGCTGATTTATTTCTCTTTTTTCTTCCTCTTCTTCTTTTTTCTTTTTTAATAAACAATACTTTCTCCTTAGGGCGTTAACAGTAGGAAATGCATTGCACATAAAGACAATATCTATAAAAGTTGGGACTTTATTTCATAATTATTTTTCTATCCAATGAAGAATTCTTTGATGAATTTCTAAATGAATAACTCTAATCGTTTCTAGCAGCTTCTGCAAAATTTTTATAATGAGGCAATCTAGTTATAATGAGCTAAAAAGATAACATAATTCTTTACTGGCCTGGGTTTGGATTTGTTCATACATAGCATAAATTTTACTATAGTAAGATAAAGCAGTTCAATTTAATTTGCTTCAAGGTCAGCAAGTATTTTAGGTTACTTATGGGCATAAATAATCTGATTTTAATTTAAAATCACATTTTTCCTATCACTAGTGATAAGAACAAAGCCAGTATTACTATATTATTTGAGTTTGAAATTTTTAAATTCACTTTTTCAAACTCCCTGATAATGATTTCAAAGTACTTGCAGTATTACAGAAAAACATGATGAAGGATTTTTATTTCTAAATTTTACTATCCCTGACCCTGAAAAAACTGGATTTTTTTAAGAGAGTTATTTTTAACTTAGAACTGTTATGAAGATATTTTTAAATAGCCATTATATATATACAGAAACAGTACTAGTCTGCATTTTTGCCCTGTTCTAAGGAATATGAAGGCCAGAAAAATGCACTTTTGGTGACTAACATGAAATACAGAATATATCCTATTATAAGCTGTAGACATGCACATGCATGTGTGCGCATGCGCGCGCACACACACACACACACACACACACACACACACACACACACAAACCCTCTGCAAGATCAAAGACCAGAAGAGAACTGGCACTTAATTTATCAGCCTTTACAGACAAAAGACAGTTTTCGTCATTTCAAAAGAATCAGATGTCTTTTATGACAAACTGGGTTTGCAGTTTAATTTACAAATAGAATTCTAAGTAAGCAGTCTTTGCTCTGCCAAAGCAAATGACAAACAGTGTAGGTTTTCATTCTTGCGGCCCTCAGCAGGAGAGAAAAGATTAAAATAAAACTGAAATAATTTAGAGAAAACAAATAAATGTTTCAGAAAGTTGAGGGAGATCAAAGCCAGAATTTTCTGACCCCAACTGTACAAGCATTTCTTATTATATTGACCAGTGCCATCAGATCATTAATTAAAAGGAAAAGCACTGGCAGGTGGCAGGGAAGCAAAAGCCGGTAATTGGCCCCCTTCTTCTCCTTGCCTTCAAAAACTCTCTCATTCTTTTGCAAGACATGCCACTAGGCAGACAGAAATGCCTACTTTGTAATATAATGATTAAGATGAGATGAAGAGACTTAGGTTTAAAGAAACTCTGCCTAATGAATGCATCTAGCTTTTTAATTATGATCCTACTTTTACAATAGGAATAGGATGTTCCATTCAACATCTCCTCAACTGCCAAAAGTAGTAAATATTAAATACAGAATCTACACGGATTCCTCTCACACCCATGCACATACTCAGCCCTTTTATTTCAGATAGAAAACTGGAAAAAATAACTCTTGGTAATTCAAGGGTCCAGGAGAAAACATATATATATATATCTATATATATATAGATATATGTATGTTCACCACAAAATAGCCTTCAGACTTACCACATCACTCGGTAGGTTGTTCAAGTCATTAAATGGTGATTCTAAAGTGTTTGTGTCAACATTTAACATAACCACATCCTCCAATGATTTATTTTTCACTCTCTGTTTAAAAAACACAATTATAAATAAACATCTTAGTATATTTTCCTTCCAAAACCATAATGAACTTAGAAATGTAGAGAAAATTATCTTAAGGATAATTAGCCTTGGGAAAAGAAAAAAGGAAAATCCTATATTATAAGAACATATAAATGACTTTGCCTTATGAGAAAGAAAAGTTTGTCCATAACCATTCAAAAAGATTGGGTAAAAAAAAAAATCCTTAAAATAGAATGTTTGCTCATCTAAACACACTGATTTAGTTTGGAGATACTGAATATAATTTAACTACCAAAGAGATATTACAACAAAAACTCACAAAATAGGCACAGCTACATTAAACCACAAAAATTTATACCTTTATAAGATGAATTTCAATCCTATGATACAGGAACTTGTGGCCAGTTCTATACCTATTTTTAGCATAAATTATATTGTAGGGCTAATATAAGCCAATAATTATGACTACTGTAAGTGAACTAAGTTTTAAATTAATAAACATTTTCTCTGTATTTCCATATCAATTCAGTGTAAGCTGATGATGAGGACTGTAAGTTGAGTAAGAAAAATGATAAGGAAGGCAGTAATAAGAAATTGTTAGTAATATTTATCACATGATTAATATAAAAGATCAAATTTAAAGCCTATCAATTAATTGTTTGGCTTGTCTTATCTGTTTGACAATTTAGTCAAATGGTCAAATTATCTCAATATGTGGACTAATGATGGTAAATTAGAATTTCATCAAATTTTTCATTCTTAAAGAAAGAAAATACTTATGGCTTATTTTTCCTATTTAAACTAATATGTATACTTAAATCATATAAATCTATTTGCCTTATTTAAATGATAGCAAATAGTATTACTTTTTGAGCAAATAAATAAGGTGCTCATTAATGAAACAGATCTATCAACTCAGAGTTCCATAATTGTATAGGTCAACTGGCAATAAGTAAATTAATTTCAATGTAGTAGTCTTCTTCACAGTATAGTATTTTTAAAAATGACATTCTAGAATAATAGCCATTTTTGGAATTATTAAATACCTTAAATTTTAAATTGGTCAGACCAATTTTTTTAAGTTGTTCAAGAATGAAATTTCCTTGATTCATGTAGAACTTCAAATCTCTGCATATTAGGTAGAATGTTAAATTTGCTAGGGAAATGGTGGTCTAGAGTAGGAATTTGTGTTAAGAAAGCCATAGTGTCTGTGTAGAATATGAATTCTCCAGGGAACACATGGTTTTAAAAATCCATCTTGGAAAAGTCATTGTAAGTACTCTAAAATAAGAGTCAGAGGATGGCTGTTTCTTAGAAATTAACAGAGAATCACCTACAATTGTGTGACACTATTGACAAAACATTTATAAATAAACTATTCCTTTTCCTTTCCATATGTATACATATATGCAAAAGAGGCTCACATACATAAATATATAGTTATCTATAAATTAACTATAGCATAAATACAAAAATATCCTATTTTATAAGCAAAAATACATTTATATTAATGGCACTTGGATGGGAAAGGTGTGTCATAATTTTGATTTCCACCTTCAATTCTAAGTTGTCCCTTTTAACAGAAACTGTAAAGATAATCCAGAAATCCAACGTACTTGCTAAAGGATGAAATGAGTTCCTCTAAACAGCCTGAAATAATGGTTATGTGATGCCTACATATTTTGTGGTGATACAAATGCTAAACTCTGAGTAAAGAAGATTGTATTAACATGAAATGTATAATTTTTTCCAAATTGCACTTAGTTTAAAAAAGTGTGATAATAGCTGAATATTAAATTCTGTTCAAGGGACCATGCAATAAGAATGGAAAATGTATTGATTTCAATAAATCAATACAATGAGACCCACTAAAGGAGAACGATTCTACATAAGCAACAAGAGAAATATAGTATGTAATTAAATTTTTTTTTTAATTTGGATTAATGTTAGTATTTTATCTGTGTTTCCTTCCAAGTCAGGCTTTAACAATTTTCTAAACAGGAGTAAAAGATCATACAGCATATAAAATGATACCACTTTCTCTGTCTCATATTTTTATAGCTCATAAAATTCATCAGCTTGCTTGGATCGGGAAAGAAGAAGAAAAAGGAGAATTTGCCTTTTTCTTCAAAAGTAATAAAATAATATCAGGATAGAGACCAAAAGTCTTACGAAGGACAACAGCAAGGTATTAACGCTGGTAAGTTTTTCTCTCACATCCTCTCTATATAATAACCTATCCAGGCAATGTGACTACATATGTGCATCATGTGTGTTATTGCAAGGAAATGACACAGTGGCAGTAGTCACATGTTCTTGTAAAACTGAACTAACATTTTATTCAGAATTATTTTTTGTGTATTTTAAAACACAAAACAATCCTTACATTTGTAGCCTCCACTAACTTATTTCTCATCATTTACAGGCCTTTGAGTTCATCCCTAAAGTCTAATTTTCAAGGGGAACAAAATGTCTTTATCCTTTATTTTGGAAGCATATTCACATTTTAAAAAGAGATTCCTAGCCATCTTTCACTCATGATTACATAGAAATAATTAAAAGAAAGATTTGAAAGGGTATTAGTTTCACATCTTTGAACAATTATATCTAGAAGTCTTTGTAAAACTGGTATATTGAAACTGTCTTGACCAAGAGAGAGAATAGGGAATATTTTGATTCTTCCTAAAAAAAAAGAAAATCTGTTGTAATTGCAGCCGAACAAAATGTAAAAAATTACTCGTCTGGTCTCATGTAAATATGTAAAAATATGTAAACAGATATATCCACATTTTAATTATAATACCATTAATATAAAATAAGCACAAAAGATCAAAAAAATCTGCCTATTAATGCTATAATAAGAATGGAATTGCAGGACTTGTACCATTTTGTAATAAATTAAGGAGAAAGTTACTAAATGGTACCCAACTGGTTTAAAGACATTCTTGAAGTTCTATTATACCTTCTCGTTCACTATTAAACCAAATAAACCTAATAGAACTGACTACAAAGACAGTTCAATAAGTCCAGAGTATAAAAGGTACAGTGATTTCAGCCAATCTAATCATGGCTCTAAACAGTCTTATTTAATGATGAACCAATTTAAAATTAGAATGGACCATTTCTCTAAGATAACACTGTAAGAAGTAAAAAATTCTTAGATTTGCTCCTTAAAAAAAGTACTGATTTTCTCTATAGGTATCCAATAAATTTATAAGGGTGATCAAATATTTAAAACATATACCCATTTCCATAATATTTTGGAAAAGCTGAATCATCTGTTTTAAAAGTTGATATAGAACCATTATGCAAAAAAATTTATCACATCAACAGGTACAATAAACTAAATATTTTTCATCTGTACAAATAAATTTATTATAAAAATTAATATATTAAATAAGAAGAGACATGTGTACTAACATCAAATTTAATTTGGTGACTTCTTTGAACCCATACCAACTAACTGCAGTTAGATTTTATTCAGTGAAAATAATGATGAATAAAATACCAGACATATATTCCGCAATCAAATAACAGACTAAATATCTATTCATTCATGCTTTATTTTATGCAAATTGACCTTTCACTGCCAGTACCTTGTCATGTAAGAATAAATTTTCTAAAAATTAATAAAAATAAAGATTCATAATGATATCCAACTCAGACTTCAAAATTAAAAACAAATTAAGTCTACTAAAGAAACTCATTAAAATGTATTCTTTGTTGATGATTAAACAAATAAAAAATGTTGCCCTAGCATTCTGCAAGAGGAGAAAATGACCAAAACCGGAGCACATGTAGAATTCTCTAACTCAGGAAGGACTACTATAGGAACATGACTTCTCCAGACAGGATCCTCAGGAGTTTTAAAATAATCAACAGGATCTTCCTTGATCAGCAAAGTGAGGACTGATGATGTATACAGTGACAACAACTAATGAGAAAACCAAATCTAACTCATTTAGGTTGTTGATTAGAAACTGGGCTAATGTACAATATGCACAATCAGTAAAAGAAAAAAAAAAGAAAGAAAACTGAGTAAAACTGAAATCAGCTAGCATAATGACACCATGCAACTGACCCAAGTCTTTTGTCTGGGTCCAAGTCTTTTGTTTATTTATTTATTTTTTTAAGACTCTAATCTTCTAAGAACTCTTCTCTGGAAATCTCGCGGATTCCAAGTTCAAGGTATTTAAAGTTCCAAGTTTTTCACTATAATGATGACAAGTCACAAAAATCATTTTGGAATGAAGTGATAACAGTGCAAAAAAAAATTACTGCATTTTAAATCCCCAGCAGGACTGGAAATTAAAAAAAATTTTAAAGCTATATTCTAATTTAAAACTTCATGATTAGAGTATTAAAATCACATCTTGAAAAAGCACACTGATAAACTGGATCATAATGGAGCTTGAAAAATAAAAACATTTTCCCTTTATGACTCATAACTACATAAATTCTGACCTTCAAAATAAGGTCTGAAAAAGAAATAAATATAAAAGATCCCAAGTGCCGTAAAGAAAGTGGTTCATCAAAGACTAAGTTTTTAGTATTTAAAACTTACCATATGACCTTGACGAAGTTTAACATATTTTCATGGGTTTCATGCCCTTGAAGATGGTCATTCAGTATACTAATTGCAATGAAATTATTCCAAACATTACCTTTTTGAAAATGACTGTGTAAAGATACCCTAAATATGAAACTAGACAACAAACCAGCTGATACTCTTTCAAAACACAACTGTTTTAACTATGATTTTTATTAATTAATTATCACTCACGTATCTCATGTCTGAAAGATACTCACCTCTATGAGGCTGGAGTGTATTCCAATCAGGTATGGCATTGGGGCACTAAATCAAAGATATATAATGTATAAGTCCATTAAAACTGAAACAATATAAGTAATTCAGAAGGTTTAAAAAATTAAATTAATTAAATGTACAGTTCTAATACAGCCCATTATAGATATTTAAAATTATTCAATATATAAAAGTCAAATTTAATCTGGGAGGCCATTAGTATATTCAAATTAAGGTTGATTTGCATAAAAATCACAAAATAATTTATAATTAAATAGAGTGGTAATGCCTAAAAAAGACTTTTTTATTTAGGAAGAATATTAGCGTCTAGGCCATAGTCTTGAGTTAAATCTTCCATATACCTCATCTCAAATATATCCTAATTATCAAATTCACATTTCTCTTATATACCTTTTTTTATTCAATCAGTTTCTTATTTCTATGATTTTCTTAATATATCATTTCATGCCTACTATGGCACCAAAGGTTTTCGAGTCAGTCAATCACCCGGTATCTACTGAGACCTGCGACGTGCCAGGCGCTGCTTGGGGACTAGGGGTACAAAGACAAACAAGCTCCTCCTCTACTGTCCCCATTCTCCTTCTGTGCTATCTTTCTGCTCATTTAAACGTCATACATTCCTGTTTACCCCACTTTTACTTCTATTAATAAAATAATTTTAACAAATCAAAATATTCAAATATGTTTAAGAATAATACTGAATTAATTAATTCAACAGATAATATCTGGAGCAAACCAGATGCTGGAACTTGGGCTATGGTACAATAATAAATGATATAAACAGAATACATTCCCTTGTGGATCTTACACTCCAACAGAGGATACAGACATTAAATATTTTTTATAACATAAAATCAGGCTTACTAGTAATTTCAAAAACATTTCTCATGAAATATAAGAAGGGAATTATCTAACTTGACATTTTAAAAATCAAAATATTATTTAATAAGAAAACATGAGAATGGACGGATGTCCACAAAGGTAATAGAAGATATGCAAATAAATAGCTATTTAAAAATAGAACATTTTTTGACACTTCTTGTATAGACATCTCTGTGTTATATTTAATGCAAACACTTTCTACGTTAATGAAAACAGTCTTTTTCAAAGAATTTGCTTAATTTTCCAAACGTCATGGTCACTGTTAAGAATTGAGCTGTCCAAACTCCTGCATACACTCTGTACTGAGAACCAGTCGTGGATAAAGCTAACAGGCACCTCGACAGATCCACAGTTTTCAAGGTAACCTCAAAACTCCAAATTTATTTAAAGATGGCTTAGCCACTAACATATATCCAGAATTCACCAAAAATAAGGATGGTTAAAATTTATATTTGACTCATTATCCCGTTCATTACTTCTCATTGTACTAGGTTCCATCTAACTCCCTTTTGTAGCTTTGTTCCTTCCTATCTTTTTTTTTTTTTAATACAACAGACCATCTGGAATTGATCTGATATTCTGGAACATTTGACTGAAAGTTAAGAACTATTTATAGGCCTTGATATCCTTAAGACCTAACAGATTTTTCTGCCTTCAAAAGGAAATAGGAGGAATAAATGTGGACTTCCCCACTTCTGCTTAAATAAAGGAAGGCTGATTACTTCCCTAGTTCAAGTTCTCATCTCTGGAATTCCTTCTGAGACTCCACAGAAGACATAAAATATATGTCACTAACTATTCTGGGCTCCCACGACCGGGTTCAGAACATTTTCACAAAACAGGGTAGCAAATCCCAAGATCTTAAATATGTCAAGCTGTCCATGTCCAAAATAAGTAAAAAAATTATTCAAGTTACTATGCAAACTTCCAATTCACCCAGATTTATCCTACCCACAAAATTTACAACATAGAAAGTCCATGGTATCTCAAATTTTGAAGCACATTTTAATATAATGAGTGTTCATCAAAAATATAAAAGTTTTCTAAAACTAACAATTACTATGTCCATTTTACAGATGTTGGATGAACACTGAGTGGATCAGATTGCAAAAATTCAGAGCCAAAACTGGTAGCTAACCTACTGAAGTCCTATGAAATACAGCTAACACTTTTAAAACTTCATGAGAGCTAGTTATTTCTTGAAATACAAAAAATAAATGTTTAGCAGTTGTTAAACTAGAATAAAAATTCAATAAAGGGCTCATATGTAGAACTTAGTAATGAAGTAACTTGTAACTTTTTCTGTGAGATTACTGGGTACTGTGTTTTTATCTCACTAATCACTAACAAAATCAAAAACATAAAGAGATGTTAGAATTGCAAACATTATTAATCTAGAGCATAAATTCCTAAAATAATCATGATATTTTGCATATAGATTTTATAGAATATGTTTTATAGACAGATTTTGTATTTTATGGAATATAGATTTTACTGAATAGTTTCTTTCTCATGAAAACTGGATTGTGTACCTCCTAATATTAAACCAGCCAAATCTCAAGAAAAGCAATTTTGCAACCCCAGCTGAAATCTCCTAATTAGATTAGCATGTTAATAAGTCAGGAAGAGATCCTTGGCAACACAGATGTTTTATCATCCACATGCAAAATTGTCCTAGATCTTTCTGTCAATGAAGTTATTTTGCAAAGATAGGATACAGAAGACCATAATGACTGCTTCTTATTTGGGGTAGCAATTAATCTTTACTCAAAAATAATCACCATGTAATAGCTTTTTTTTTTTCTTTTTAGGTTTTCTTACAGAGACCACCTGTGGGTACACAGTAACAGCAGTCTATTAACTTAGGTAGTCTAAACAGCATAATTTTCCATTTATGTTTTAAAAAACAATTCTCCTAAAAGCTAAATCCGCTCCTTTCATGGAAAGAACCATCAGATAGGTAGCCTAAATAAAAAAGTGACTCAACCACTCTTGAACAAATAAAGAATGATTATAATTTTACTGGTACTAGAGTCATACTACCTCCTAGGTGTTTAAGGATTCAGAAAGTTTAAGGGTGTGTGGCAGTATCATGAACTTGCCACATTAAAGTTCTCTCTTTCTCCCTCTCTCTCTCTCCCTCTCTCTCATTCTCTCTCCCATAATAAAAACACTTAATATGAGATCCGCCCTCTTAAGAGATGTTTAAGTCTGCAACACAGTATTGTTAACCATAGGCACAACATTGTGCAGCAGACCTCTAGAACTTAATTATCTTGTATAACTGAAATCTTGTACCTGTTAAAAAGAAATTCCCATTCTTCCTTTATACTGGTAGATTAAAAGAAAGTCTAGATAGTGTCATTTCCTCCCAGTCGCCTTCCCTATCCTACTCAGCAGTACAGGCCACTTCTTCCTAGGTGTCCATCCATGTTGCATTTACATGCATTTACTGAAGTGTTACTCCGTGTTCCTCTTGTGTGTGCATGTGTGTGTGCTACATGCACATGTGTGTGAATTTCTTCCTCTCTTTGGAAACTACAAGGGCAGAAACTAAGTTTCATTCATTACCTTACATACACTCACTGCTTGGCAAATAGATGTTCACTAAATATTTGATGTACAAATGGATGGATGAATGAATAAGTCAACAAATTAGCACGCCTTTCATTAGTGGATCCAGATGCTATATTCATGCATGGTCACAAGATGGCATTATGACTCTCCACAGTCTATGTCACACCAGATATACCAGGTGTGCAAACAAAAATACTTCCAGGAGACAGGATTATTTCAGGATTTGGAAAGTACCAATCACCTTGAAGAGTTGGCAAATATACATCTAACCCATCAAACCTTTCTGGTGCTATTTTTGAAGTGAAATATAAAAATGTCTTTATTCAAAAACCATGAGACTGAAGGGACAATCGCTAATATTTTTCTCCCTTTTGCACAGAGATCAGTATAATTCTAAGATCATTTGCAAGGACACAAAGGGAAGAAAACTATTTTCCCTAAGAAATACTTTAGTCCATAAAATTTTCTGACACAAGAGAGCTAGAGTCTTAGACACCTATTTCTTTCAAAAGAAAAAAATTATATTATACTGCTCAGTTCTATGATAGAAGCTGAGCCTATCATTGTGACCTTAAGGTTCAGGAAGTTTCAGATAACTCCTGGCTTATCACTGCTGTACTCTCCGGAACAGGGCACTGTCTGGCATAGAAGCTGTTAGAACTTGTCCTAAAGGCTATTTCAAAGTAGAAACTAGTAAGAAAATTCGAGGAACTGAAATATGAAACAAGCTTCCTTCCTTATAGTGGAAGCAGCAGAAGAACTTGATGGCAGGGTTAGAAAGTATCAGGAAGACATCTCTGGAAAGAATTAGCACAGAACTACCTACATCACAGAATAGTTTCTAAATAACAGTATTTTAGAAAGTCTTAAATGTGTAATCATCACAGACAACTGAACTTAAAGGGACGTTACGTCCTAAGAGGTCAGAAGGTTTTAATAGAGAAATTAAAATAGCATAACATTATATATGATAAAATATAATTCTAAGCTTCGTCATTAGAAGTGTTAGTTCTTGAGCCACTAACTTGACATGTACTTTTAAAAATCATGTATCAATATATTTTCAAATACTTTTGTAAAAATTATTTAAAATAAATAAACTTTAATTACTGAACACCATGTGCCAGGATCTATGGCACTGTCAATGTGAATAAACTGCCATTCCTGCCTTCAAGATGCTATTATGTACTAGGTATGTTGGTCACAGGAAAACACTCTAAAATGAATACCAAACAACCTATTTATAGATCTAGCTTAACTCTCAGACTTGTGTATGTGACACTCCACAACAAAATTAAGTTGCACACTTATAATCTCCTGCCAAACTTGCCCCTTTCCAGTACTCAAAGGGCTGAATGGCAGTGGTAGATCACAGGGAACCTATTTTACGGCATTCTCAATACTAATAATATTACCATGCTGTGGAAACACACCATATATTGGTATCATCAATATATGGCCAGATATATGTGTTGTCATTCCAATCACTTGATCTGAAGAGGGTTAGTGATAAAAACTTAACAGAAAATCTCTATGTATGAATTCAAATTATTTTAATCCTTAAATACTTTAAGTGATTTGCTTTTCATGAAATAAAAAAGTTAAATACTTTGATTCTAAAAGAGCTTTGTTTTTTAATAATATAAACAAACACATTATAGTCAAAATTATTTCCTTCTGTGTGTATATGTGCACATGCATGGTTTAGAGAAAAAAGTCTCAGATTTCTTAAGAATTAAGCTATGCCTGCAGAAGATAATTATACAAGGAAGAAAACATTTACCCTACAGTCCAGAAGAAGATCCCACAGCTGCTGTCCCAGAGTCTAACCCTTGTCCAGCCTCGCTGTGGGTATACACATTCTTCCAGAGGAAGAAAACAGAAAAGTTCTACAGGTGTAGTTGAATTCAAATTGGGTGAGATCACTGGGAGTTGTTTCTAATGCCAGGAAGCTTTTCAAAATTATTCCCAACACTTTTCAACATTGCTTTTCATAGTGGCTTAGGGCTGAGACTTTGATTTAAACCAGAAACTCAGGGAATCCCTGATTTAGAGGCAATCCCTTGCTGGTATTTGGTATTTGGTGTGCTGCTGAGGGAAGAGGGGTCTAGGAAAGTGTGTCCTGAGGTAAAGAGAATGAAAGTGTGCCCCGACAGAGACAATGTGGTTTCTGACACCCTCTGCAGACAAATCCTGACACCTGGGATATGGAGTTCTCTAACTGATACTGTAACTTCTGTATACTTCTGGTAACCACCACTAGGACTGTATTTATTTCTCTTTATGCATTTAATTATCTAAATGACTGCAGAAGTACTCACAAAGTCTAAAGAACTTTATGTTTGCCAAGTATACATTTTTGCTAGCTTTGAAATGCCCTTCATGAAAGCACCTTCTAATAATTGTTACCAATCTCTAAGCCAAGTTTCAGGGCTCCCATTCGTGTGTGTGTGTATACACACACACACACACACACACACACACACACACACACCCCAAGCTTACCTAATCTACAAATAAATGAATTTTCTCTAATCACAAAGCCTGGATTTAAAGGAGTTTGGCCAAAGGCATCTTACCAGCAGTAGTCCAGCAGGTGCGGAGGAAGCACTGGGATGTATATGTGTTGCCAGTACATTGGGTATAGCAGGGCAACTGATCCATGGAGACAGGCAGTTAACTAAAATTTGCAAAAGGATAACAACAATAAGTAGTTGCTGACCCTCCAAACAAAAAGACATGCTTAAGTTATCAAAGATTAATAACAACCACAAAACAATTTATTTAGTGACCTAAATCACATTATCTTTACAAATTCTGCCAGGAAAAAAAAAATCTTATGTTCAAAACCCCTCTAAAAAATATACAAATAGCAAAAGTGGCTTCTTGGGCATCTTATGGAGACAATTATAACTATCTGAAAATATAGCGTTTGGAGTCAAAACTCAGAACATAAATAAAAGTAAAACTGAAAAATTAGGTGAGCATCTTAGAAGAAATTATAGGAAATTACAATTTGTGCAGCACAGTTTGCGCATCACTCAGATTAATATACCACGATTAAATATGGAAAGGAAGAGAGGCTGAAAGCTCCTGAGGGATATCATTAGGGCAAATTGCCAAAGAATGAAACATGAGCCAGTCAGGAGAGTCTGGAAGCTGCAATAATACCAGGGGACTTGAGTGTTCGACAGTTGGAGCTTCAGTAATGTGTGAACCGCGGGTTATGGTATCAAGAGACTCTGTTCACTGACACATAGAATGTCACTATTGACCAGCGAACTGCCCAAGCTTGACAGCTGTACTACAGGAAGCCAAGTATATCATAATTTCATATTTAAACTGTTCATTTCAGATTAACATTTTGTTTCCTAGCTTTATATCACAACAGCTGCAAATACATTGATGCTATTTTAAAGGTAATTGCCATTTTAATTGTCTTGTTTTGGCAAGCAGTTAATTAAATATTTTTTTTTTAATGCTTAACAAAGGGATACCACTTTTTTCCCTTCCCTCCTACTGATCCTCACCAGAATTCTTTCCATGGGACTTTTCTTTACATCTTAAATTATATTTCTCTGTTAATCATTTTTTAATGTTTAAAGCAATAATTAAGTCAGCATTCCTCATTTTAAAAAGTCTTGCTAGAGTCAGCATTTCAAGCTTACTAATTAAATCATTTTATTCAACTTGAAAATCGGAATTTAAAAATAAAACTATCTGAAAATAATCCACAGACTTTCTGTAAACCATTATTCCTGTTATACAGAGAAATTAAAACTTACACACAATAATCAAATTAACCTAAAAGGATAAATGTATAAAAAGCAATTCAATCTTAATAGAAACATTTGTCCATATTTAAGTGCATAATAATTCAGCTAAAAAAATAAAAAATTAAAGGAATCCAATTTGAACCAAAAACAAAAATTTTTATTAAAAGTATACTCATCTTCATTTTATGTATTTTTTCCAGTTAGATTTTTAATTAATTTTATATGAAAATAATGTATTTTTTCTATTTAGGATGCTATCATTAAAGGATTTTAGTACTTGGCACTTACAAGCTTTAATAGTTTATCTACAATATTCCTTCAACAAAAATTATTTTTTAAAAATTCCTTAATTGGAGCATACAATATACCACTAGGAGGCATTCAAATACCTTCACTTAACAATTACAGACCTTGATTTGTCTTATTTGAACCCTCATAGAGGGAGATGAAATAGGGTTGATCTAACTTGGTCAAATTCTCTGAGAGCTCTTAGGTACTCCCTGGTTGTAAATTAGGCATCTTTAAAGCTGTATTAACTCTTTCCATCTCTTCAGTGTAACTCAATGGCTAAAAGCATTTATACAGCTTTGAAAGGGGGCTACTTTACTCCATTTCTCCATTTGCACACAGATTACTTTTAAAACAACTCATTTAAAACCTTAAAAAAAAGAGAAAGTGTTCCTTTTACATTATTAAGAAAATTAACAGTGTAACAAGAATACTACATTCTCAAAATGAGGAATTACAATAAGGGTAACCTATTTTATTGGGTACACCCAGAGTTCAAAGCACTCTATTAATTGCTTTATAGATACCTTCCCTCTTAATGGTCATCCTTAAGTGAAGTTATGAATTATTCGCTAAGAAGGCACAATATCATCTGATGAATCTGATTGGCTTCACACAGAGGGCGAATGCTCTACGTGATGATAGACAGTTACAAAACACCTGCAACGGCCAGCATGTGGCAAGGGATCATCTCTACTAATCAAGGTCTGCCAGGAAAGAAGGATGTTCTAGAGGATTTGGCAACTTTCTGGATTTAGTGGGTAGGTGACAGGGAGAGGTAAAAACACTACCCCTCCCTAACCACAATTTCTGGCCTAAGCAACTAGGATGAATTATTTAAAGTAATACAGCAAAAAGTGTCAGGTTCAGGTGGAACTACAAGGAATTTATTTTTGCAAATACTGATTCTGTTAAATGTGAGACATTCAAGTGGAGATTTCCAAAGCAGGCAGAAACAGACCAAAGATCCCATACTCCCCTAGGAGCATGTAATAGCTATGTGATTGAAAACTAGAGAGAACACTATTATAACATCTACTTTGCAGAAGAGTTAGTAGTGAGTGAAAAAACGCAACTAAGAAAAAAATAAATGTACTAGGAAATCAAACACAATTATGTTTTAGCTGTATAAAACAATAAGAAATGAAGTATACAAAATTAGGGCTCTGCCACTAAGAAGCTGTATGACCTCTGGCACATGTATAAATATAACCAGATCTGTTTCCTAATCTTTAAAATAAGAAGGATATGCGAGACGATCTGTAAACATTGTCTCTGAGAGATGTAGTATTCTTTAGTCTTAGATCAGACCAATTCTAACATTTTACATTCTTAGTTAATGATCTTTTTTTCCAGATAGGTGGTTAACAGAACTAGACTACACATCAGACCACCTTCAAAATATATCTAAAGATCATCTCTAAAACTTTTAAAGCATAAGAAGTAACTGAGCAATTGGAAATATCATAGTAAGTTACTCAATTAAACAAAATTTTTGAGTGCCTATGTGTTATCATAAATCTCTACCAGGCCACAGGGACCCAGTACTGAACAGAACAAAGTCCCTATATTCATGGAACTTACATTTTAGTGGGGAAAGCAAACAATAAACAAGTAAATATTATATGGGTTAGAGGTAAGTTCTAAGAGGAAACCTAGAGCAGGCTAAGAGGGTAGAAAGTGACAGAGGGACAGTTTTAGACAGGAGGATTAGAGACAAACTCTGATGCCGTGACATTTGAACTGAGACCCGAATGATATAAGAGAGCCCACTGTTATGGCTTTGAGGGGAGGAGCATTTCAGGCAGATGAGGTGGGAACATGCTAGTCATCTTCACAGAGGAGTAGATTAGATCGGAGTAAGTGGGAGAACAGCGGGAGGTAAGGTCAGAAAAGCAAGCCTCGTCAGAACTGGAGGGCCTTCTGGGATATGACAGAGACCCTTAAGACTTATTCTTCATGAAATCTGTCCACACCTCTGAAGGGAACTAACTGTCACAACAAATTATTTATCTAGAACATTCTAACACCTATGCAAATTAAGGAAAATAAACTATGTATTTTAGAAGTCTGATTTGCAAAATAAAGTACTATAAAGACATGAGATCAATTTTTAAGCCAAGTAAGAAGAATCATTTACTTGTAAGTTATTTATGATATATTGATTGTTTAAGCACAAAGGGAAATGACAATCATACTTCTTTGGACTAGAATTACCCAAGACTCTACCTCTGGCTCACAACAGGACTAGAACTCTATATTCTTTTCTAATATTCTGTCAGTGATTTAATACCACAGCTGTTCTTTATGAAAGAAGAGAGGGTGGGAGAAGTTTCAGTATTTGAGTCAGAACATATCCCAGTCATTATGCTCTGCAAACTATAGAAATAATAAATGAGGAATAACATATAATAAGGCTATAATTTTCAGAGAAAAACAAATTTTCCAAATAAAATTTTAAGAAAAAAATCCTTCTCATCTTTGTTAAATGACAAATGAATATTTAAATGCAAATATGATTTCACAAAGCATACTCAATATATTGACTTGATATGGTCCCACAGTACTGACTAATGCACAATAAAATCACTGCGAACGTTTCTCTCCCATGCACTATAATTATAAAATAAGCATATGTGGAAACCATGTGAAAAGGAAAGAACTGATGAGGCCTATAAAATCAGGGGGAGAAACCGGACAAGAAAGGTGGACAACAGTGAACTCAACCATCAAATAAACGCACTCGGAACTTCCAGTTCCAGGCCACCAGCGTCTAACAGAGATATTGTCACTGATAACAATAATATCATCAAATGTGTATATAATGCTTACTATGTGCCAGACACTATTCTGAGTACTTGATGTACTCAGACTTAATCCTCACAACAACCTTATGAAATAGCTTCTATCATCATTATTCCCATTTTACAGATCAGGACACTGCAGCAAAGTTAAGCCAATGGCCCAAGATCACCCACCTCGTATGTGGCAAAGCCAGGATACCAACCCAAGCAAGCTCCTGAGTGCAATAACCATTACTTTAAACTGCTTTTTTATATACAAGCATTCAAAATTCCCATCATTATGGGGCTCTGAATAATATCTACTGGCTGAAAATATTCTATCTTAATCATATGGTGGAGAATGAACCTTTACACTCAACAGACACACAAGAACACCTGACCTTTGTAAGACAAAGCTGAGGTCTGTGACAGAGACCCAATTTACAAACCTTTCCTCCGGCATCACAGTGGGTAACTTCAGCAGGAAACCAATGGAACCGATTCTCTCAGATGTTAAAAAGGTAATTGATAAAAATTCTACCAGTTATCATCTCAGTTTGGATCTGCAAGAATATTTAGTTGGAAACCAAACTAAAGTTCTTTCCCCTTTGTGATATAAAATCGCACTCATTCCTTTTTCTTAAAGTCAAACTATATTTATTAGAGGAAATCAGCCACTAATAAAACCAAGCAATGTTTTAAGCAATTAAACAGACATGTATTTTGGGGGGAAACCACATTTTCAAATTCCCAAGGAGACCGCAGGTAAACAACCCATCAGTGTGATGACCACAATGAAAACAGCACAATTCTAATTCAACACACATTACAAG